AGCAAAGAGCGCGCAAGCTGCAAATATTGTGGCACGACCCGTTTGAGGCCTGACTACACATGTGCGTTGAAGCCCATCAGCGCGTAGCTTTCAGACATGAGATCGTGCTTTCTCCCTATGGAGAGGGTGCGAGAAGTTATAAAGACTATGCTCTTTTTTTTATAAATGTGATATCCTTATATTATAAGTACAGTAAAATTGGTCATTTTTCAAAATTTTAGGGTGAAAAATTTCAATTTCTCATGCCGCTTTGAGTCCTTGAAAAATTTGTAACAGGTCCTGGAAAGTCCTTGAATATTCTTGAATTTTCGCTTTGTAAACCTGTACGAACCCTGCCTGGATTTGAAAAGGTTCTGGTTTGCAATCTTCGCCAATCTGTTTTTTGAAATCTGTCTTGCTGTTTGTGTGTTGGCAGATATTTTTTTCGTCGCTTATAGTGTGCCAATATGTCATGATACGTGACCAGTCTGTCTCTGTCGTCTTGTATCGCATATTCATATATTCATTATTGTCGTCATCTTTATCGTCCCCATCGCCTCCACCAGAGTCGTCCCCCTTCTGTGGTCAGTGCGGGGGGCCCGGTTGTTGCTGTCCGAGCCGTGGTGGGTTAGTTCTCGCGCGGTTCAGTGGGCCTTCTCGTTGAGGTTTTGAGGGATGGTCGTGTCTTTGATGTTTAAGGTTCCGGAGCTTCTTGTTGGACACTTTGTCGGGACCTGGAGCTGACTCGGTCTTGACAGTCTGCAGGACTGCCCTGATTTCTTGCTGTGAAAGGTCTCTGTCAAGATCTTCGTTGCAAGAGCCCAAGTATTCCTGGTGTTCGACTGCCGGGGGTCTGCCGAGGTAGAGTTTGACGATTTCATCACCCATCTGATGGATGTTCCCTTTATACCTGTGTCTTATCCTGGTCATTTCCGTTTTCACCGCCGTTTTGGTGACCGATGGGTCCAGCAGGTGCTTGAGGATTTTTCATGTCTTGCCTGTGTTTATGTTGCCGTCCATGGCGTCGCACACTTCGTCCCATTCCTGATGGCATAGCTGGGTACAGTGTGTTTTGATGTTCTTGTTTAGTTCGGCGAGTTTTCTCCTTAGATTTTGATTGTGTTTTTGTCTATGCAGCCGTTTCTGAATAGATTTTTTGGCTTCGACCAGGTGTGCCAGCCTGCTGTCTATCCACATTTAGAGGCTTCCGCCACACTCATCTTTCTCATCTCGTCGAGCCAACCAGTCGTCCCATTCCATTTCTGTTGTGGCTTTTTCTACGTCTCGTAGAAGTTCCCTGCTTTATTTATTCTTCGATGTGTTTGATGGGTCCCTGTTCTTTCTCGTTTCTGCTTTTGCGAATTTGTCCCAATCTACACGCCTGATCGTCCGTTTGCAATTCCTGGTAGGAGGATTGCCCAGAGCGATGCTGAGGATCCTGTGATCACTCCCCATGTCTTCAAAGGTGTTTTCCCACGTGATTTGCCTGGTGTTCTTGCAGAGGGTCGAGTCCGGCGTGGTGTCCCTGTGAGGACCTACACCGATTCTGGTGTGCGAGGCTGGCTCATTCAGAATGGCTAGGCCAGCCTTTTCGATGAGGTGGCAAGGTTTTTTTCTTTCATCGATGAGTGCCCTTATCCCCAGTGCGTGTGTGGAACGTTAAAATCACCTCCGATGACAAGTCGGTTGTCGTCTGCAATGTTCATCGTTTCGTTAATTAGTTCTTCAAAATTATGTGTTAGGCCCTTTTTAGACGGGCTGCTGGGTATGTTTACGACAAAAGTGCTGCTCTCCTTTTTGCTGCGCGGCATGACTTCTATAAGGATGTGGTTGATATCCGTGACTTATTTCGTAATGTGTAAGATAGCAACTAGCCCCTTCTTCACTAAAATGGTCACGACTATGTCTCTCCTCTTTTCTTGTGTGCGTTGTCTATGGGTGGCATCCCCTGCAATTTTGGCGTAGTCGAATGTCTCCTGCGAAATGATCACGTCAGGTTTTTTTCTTTTTGTGGTGGTTTTGATAAGTTGCGCCATCAATGCTTTCTTATTAGAGAAGCCGCGGCAGTTTGACTGCCAGATGACGAGTTTTCTCATTTTGGTGCCCGCCATGTCTAATTCTCTTCTCTAGCTCTTCGAGCTGCTTGTCGTGTTGCAGTGCCAGCGCCTTACTCTCTGCCTTACTGTCGCTAAGTCGCACGACCAGCATCTCGAACATTTTGTCCATTTTGTCCGGCAGTTTTATTATGTCCTCGAGGACGTCTGCTTTATTTGTTTTTTTTGTGCTATGACGGGAGGGGGGGGGGGGGGCTCTTGACCTTTTTCCGAATCATTTTGTTCTTTGGTCTTCGTCAGCAGGATTTTTCGTTGGCGCCAGGTTGCTGTGTTTCCACTGCTACCATTTCTACCTCCTCATCCTCCCTCTCCCCTGTGGTTTTGGTCACTGGCGTGGAGACGGCCGCAATGGTGGTCGACGGAGGCAGCGCCTGTATCTGCATATTTATGAGTATTTCATTAAGTTTATGCTGTAGTTCATCAATTTTTTTAGCTGATTCACGGTTTTGCTTTTTTGTTTTGTCTAGCTCCTGTCTGAGTATTTTGTTTTCCGTTCTGTATTCCCCTACGCGTTTCTCTCTTTGTAATTGTCCCTAGCGTTACTATTATTGCCGGACCTTGCCGAATCGCGATTGGCCACTTTGTCTGACCAGCCCACCTTGTCTGGTGTCTTCTATTCTCCTTGCTGCTTCGTTGTCACTTCGGGCATCCTTCCCCTTGAGGTGGATCTTCGCAAGCGCCTGGTTTTGGGTCTGCTTCTGGACCTTGACCCCGAGCGCCGTAGTCCCCAGGCTCCCAGCCTGGACTTGGATCTGGAACTGGACCTTGATGTGGGTGCACGGGCTGGCTGTGTGTTGCGGCTTCTCCAGGTGTCCTGGTCTGGTGAGCCGGCTTCCGGTTGGAGTTCTTCCTCGTTTCTCCTCGCAGCCCACCTTCGTTGCTTTACGAAGTATGGCGTCTTAAATTTAGCCCTGCAAGTCTGGTCTGCCGTGGAGTGAGCGTCTCCGCAGAGCTTGCACTTGGTTGTGCATTCATAGTCTCTGGTAGGATTTTTGGCACCACATGCCGGGCACAACTTGTCTGCCGGTCTTGGGCACACATCGGGCCTGTGCCCGAGCCTCCCACACACTCTACAAAAGTCTATTTGCTTCTGGTAGAGGGAAACTTTCATCATGATGCTGTTGAAATAAGCCCACATGGGGATCCTATTGCCTTGGTGCAGTAGTATCACTGTGGTCGTGCTCCCCAATCTCTTGGCGTGCGCCAGTAAAGGGTTCCTCGCGTTCACCAGTGCGTGCGCGAGCCGATCATGTGTGTACTTCAAAGGAATGTTGCAGATTATCCCCTTGGCCATGTGTTCCGGTGCTGAGACGTACGCGTTGGTCTAGTACTTCTTCCCGTTTATTTTTAAATCCTTGATTTTGACGAGTTTCATAGCTGTCTTCTCATCCGCTGTGCTGATCACCAGGATATTTTGTGTAGGGTTGGGGCAGATCGTGAAGATTTGGTCGTTGCTCACCCCTGCTTCTTGGGGTATCGCTTCGTCAAGGCTGGCTCTGCAGGTGTGTTTAATGCACAGCCCGTCTCTTGATCTGACAATTATCTTGATGTCATCTGCAGGTAGCCTTGGCATCTTGCTTGTTTGTAAAATCTTGCTCACTATTCTTTTCCCACCTCTGCGCTTTGGGCTTCTTGAGCGGGTGCCTTTCTGTGCTGTCTCTTTGCCAGGGCTCACACGACCCTTCCTTTTATAAGTGACTTCGATCCAGCCGTCTGCATTGCCATCAGCGTCTGGTCTCGTGGGATCGCCATCGTCCTCTCCGGCATCATTACTCAGAGTTTTTCCCTCTTCTACCTCATCTACGTCCATTTCGGAGGTGCGTCCGATCCCTTGGCTTACAACTCAGCACCGTTAATCATCCTTCCCGAGGCCGGAGTCGGGCCTTGTTAATGTAGGCTTATGTGGGAACACTTGCAGGCCGGGTGGTTTTTCACATCGAAAAAGCTTCAAAAATGGTATCTCGCCAAGGTTTTCGGTGTTAAAGCGTTCGGGTGGACTCGCTCTATCCGGTGGTGGTCGATCGCCAAGTATTTGACTTGAGGCGAAAATGTTGTAGGCTCGTGTGCTCAGATTTGGGTGCACGTTAAAGAACCCCAGGTGGTCGAAATTTCCGGAGCCCTCCCCTACGGCGTCTCTCATAATCACATGATGGTTTCGGGACGTTAAACACCACATATCCATCAATCAAGTCAATCAATCAGGTATTTGACTTGCTAAAACTGCGGGAACCATTAATAAAAGGCTGAGTCGAAGTGAAGCGCGTCCCCAGTGGTATTGGCTTTAACGTGAAAATAACTTCGATTAGCTAATCTCTGGTCTTCAGTTGGCATTCATCTGTGATGCTGCGTATTATTCAATTTTTTAACATTCTGAAATTTTAATAACATATTTCATTCTACTGAGGTCTAGTAGCTATCCAAAGCATTGCTTATGTCTTGTGTTCTTTGAATTACTGTATTTCCAGCATTGATCTGTTAAATGTTTGAACTGCTAGAATTTTGTGTTTACCAGATAGAAAAAGGCTAATTTAACAGGGATGTGTGATCGTAGAAATCTGCTCTGAAATTAACTCTTGCATTGCTCCAAAACATGCCTGTTAGTGCTCCAAAGCTGCTGCAAAATTGCAGTGTTCCTACTTCCTCAGCTGCTCCAAAATACAAAAGACTGAAGTCGAGAATGAAGAGTGCCTCTGCTGCCAACAGGCTGTTTGCACTTCTAGTGCCTTCCTATTCACCAGTCACATCCGAATCCCCCCACCCCCACCCCGCTTGTTTTTTTTGTTATTTCTGTGATGATGTGCTGATATTACATTCATTCTATGCTGTGAAGCTGTGTGTGTAATTATCAGATTATTTTCTAATTTCATATTACTTGGTTCACTGATGTGAGGCTATCATTTGTTTTAGGTGATCATATTCTTGCACAAATTGGAGCCTCACCATCTCATGTGTAAGCAGCTCTTACAAGAAATTTGCACCAAAGTACATGACCAGAAGTGGGCGCAGCGTCAATTGTAAGAACCTTGGCTTTCTGTGTATTAGTAATAATATTATAGCATGGTCCTGGAACACTTATGCAGACATAGGACAAAGTTGTGCAGCTGATAGTGTTCTAGATACTACAGCACCTCTTTAATATTAAGGGGGATAGAAAATCGTGAAAATGTGGTTTGAACTAGAAAGAGCCTCTTTTTAGCAATACTTCATGAATGCATGTACTACATGTGCATACTGTTTGATTTCATATGCGGTATTTTTGGCCACTATTTGGCACTATTCGATTCAACATGAAATTTCACTATTTGCACCCTCCAATTTTTATTTTAGGGCTTACATTTGTGAGACTTCTGTTCAAATACATACAACTTTGCCATGAACAACCGTGCAGTTTTAGGGATTTGTAAGTTAAAATAAAAAGATTTCCACTTTTTCAGAGGCACCTTATAAGAAAGAATAAAAAAAAACATGGCGTTTAGCGCAGTGTTTGTTCACCGAGTGGTGTAGCTTGGCTGTTAGGAGTAGCTTATTTTTCTGGTCATATTTCCATCAGCTGTGCAACTTTGTATCACTGATTAAATGTTTGTTGCTAGTGGATGGTGTGCCCTAACGTGTCAGGGACAGTAGTGAATGTCTCTTGAGCTCATTCCCAAACTCTTCGAATACAGTAGAACCCCGCTACAACGAAACTGAAGGGGCGCTGAAAAAAATTTTGTTGTGAAATCGAAAAAATGTAGCCGATCTGAACTAGCAAAAACAAAGGAATGCTTAATCTCAAAATTCAAAAAAGTGTCCGCTGCTTTTCATGCTATCCCAGCAGCGTCATGACGCCATTCTCACCCATGCATAGCCATGCCATGGTGAAAAGCACGCTGAAACAATGAGAACCGCTTTTGTGAAAGAACCAAACAGTTGCGTTAACATGTTAACAACAGCAGCTGTCCGCCGTCAAAATGCCGAGATGGCAGCACGGTATCGTGGAGCGATGAATTTTGTCTTATTTTATGCCATTCTCATCATCCATCACTTGCGGCTAGTTGATTTTGTTGATAATGCGGACGAACAGCCGCTCTCATTAGTTACCACACTGGCCAAGCGCGAACGAAATAAGCATAGGAATAACAAAAGGCATCGTTCCACAAATGCACCCAGCAGCTGCGCGAAGGAAACCATGAACTAAGCAACTGAGCTTTAGCTTCTGATCGTCTGCGGCTATACAGTAAACCCACTTTTTAACATATCGATGCATTTTCAGAAACTTGAAAGTACGTCGACGAAGTCTAAAATACGCGTTAACACCACTAGAAACCACCGCTGTTCAGCAAGCATGGGCTCCGCCATTGCTCAATAGCGATGGCAATGAGACTGCCCTCTTTTTGGCAAAGCAGGGCAGTCTCGTTGCCATCGCTATCAAGCATTGCTTGCTGAACAGCAGTGGTTTTTGGTGGTGCCAACGCATGTTTTACGTATTTTCAGGTTCTGAAAATGCATCAAAATGTTAAATATTCGGTTTACTGTATAGCAGTAAATATCTGAGCCTGGAATCGCATCGTGAAATTTCGTTGAAGCGGGGCGGCAGAAGAAAAAGTGTTCGTTGTGGCGACAATATTTATTCATCGACTCCTATGGACTGCTGACGGGGAACCGTGAATTTTTCTGATGTAGTGGGAATTTCGTTGAAGCGGCATTTGTTGTAGCGTGGTTCAACTGTAGCCGTAGTGTAAAGCCGTTTTTCTTGAAATTTGAGGGCTTACACGTTTCAGCTTTTATACAGGTACACTCGGAAGTTTCCTGGGCTGCACACAGTTCTGGGACAAAGTCCCTCTACCTTGCACATGCCCATGCTTCTTCCATGGCATGCTGTTTAAATCCATCAGTAATAAATGACTCTTTTTTTTTTTTTTCGGCATAAATTAAAAGCAGTACAATTTGGTTGCCTAAAAGGTGCAAGCACTGTCTATAAATTGATGGGTGCATTAGGAATCAATGACCTTAGATGCTGTTTATGAGTGAATTGTACGGTTCTGGTATATTTAAAGAATGCTTTAGAAATAGCCAGTATTCTGTAAAATAAAAGATATTCACTAGAGCTTGTGCGCGTCGCTTGTACAATATGCACATACCAACTTTCCTTGGCACTGGAACGAATACACTACAGGGTGGAATAAAACTTACGGTGAAAAGAAAGAAGTAGGACCAGGAAAGAAGTATGCACACTGGGCTTGCTCATTCATGACTGAAAGGTCATCGCACATGTTAAAACATATGTAAGAAAATGGGGTATATCCCGTATGTCACAAAGAGGCACAAAAAGGAAAACAACCAAGACGCGTGTTCACAGTTGATTAACAGAGTTGTGTTTCTTGCATTGTAGCGATAGCGAAGGTTGATCGAGAAAATGTGGTGTTCTTTATATGTCCCCAAGATTTCTCTTGTGGTCTGGTTAGGGTGACTGTGCAAGATTAACAGGCCTTCAAAGATGAAATTGCATTTGCATGACTGAAAATGCGAGGTGCAATAATAAGATGGCTTCATTCAATGAATTTTGCTCTCTCAGGCACGGTTAATACATCAACCAGTCTGACCAATGTATATATGTATGGGTGAGACAGCTGTGCATATTGCGTATTTTTTATACATTTTTGTTTTCTTGCGCTGAATTGCTCCAAAACAGCCTCGACATTTAGAATTCTGATGCCAACCTCAGCTTCAGTGGGAAAAAAGGCCGAGTTCACTAATGAGATGCATCCAATCGCATAATTTTTTTTTAACTCTGCATGCACTTTCGTGGTGACGAAGGCTCTCATGGTGCCGCCATAATCTCTGCTAAACTGTTGTAAGTATATGTGACCTCGCAAAAATGTGCTGCCATGCATCAAGCGTGCTGCTTCTACTAGCCAAGCTGTGTGTTCTGGTGCCACTGTGTGCTTGTGAAAATTAGAGTTGAGTAGCTAGCATAACGGGGTTGTCTCTCAGGTACATTGTTGTGTGTAGTGCATTCCTCCGATCGCTGTGCCTTTCATGTAATGCTGCTGCGTGCGGTTACTTACGTGTGTGCGTTTTCCCGTGAGCAATTAACTGTAAACGTGGCATCATTTCCCTGTATGCTACGCGTCTCGTGGATGCTCTGGCGTATGCACTTCGGTTGTCAAAATGGGTTCCATGAGTGACAGAACACGTGCGAGCTCATTCCGGTTTATGCCCATTAGCTACTTACTTATTTAAACGAGTGAGTTCTAATTGCATTTTGCGTTTAAAAAAGCCACAGCACGTTAGCTTTGCGTATCGGTGTCTGCAGGTAGAAACACTTGGTTATTTGTGAAGCCGTGGTGACAGAACGTGTGTTCAAACCATTTTAAAGATATGAACGGGCACCTCGCCGCTTCATTCGCGATTCACGATGCGTCAGCGACCACGTGGCACAGTTTTCTTGATTTGCCACTGCTCCGTTTTGTAATTTAAACTCTCAGCATTCGTTTTGTAAAAGGCGTCGCTTCATGCGTGCCGACTCTGGGCTATGCTGTCAGGCTTAGCTCGATTGGTGTTTCAGATTTGGGTGCACGTTAAAGAACCCCAGGTGGTCGAAATTTCCGGAGCCCTCCACTACGGCGTCTCTCATAATCATATGCTGGTTTTGGGACGTTAAACCCCACAAATCTAATCGATTGGTGTTTCGGTCGGCGGCAGCGGCACTTCGTTTTCCTTTCTTTTCTTCTTATGCAATAAAGTACGTTTGCGTGCACACAAGTTTATCTGCGCTGCGCGAGTGCTTTACGTGAGTCGCGGAGCGGCAATCGCAAGTCTATGTATTATCGGTTCTACATCGACGATGATGGCCTATGATTAAAAAAAAAAAAGGCCAACGTGTGCTGTATTAGTTAGTAACACGTGGTTGCTGGCGTGGGGAGGCGTTATTAGTATCATTCGCTTATCGCTTCGTGCCATATGCACACGCTTTACGAGATTGTCGGTGTGGCGAGGCTTGTTGGATCCAGTGCTGTAATTTTGAAGGTGGTTCTGCACGAGGTGGCCGCGAATGGCGGTGCAGCGCACTTTTGTTGTCTGCTTAAAGCTCTTGACGTTATCGTGTCGGGCTTTTCAATAAGCGAAGTTCCACTGTTATGTAATTAAAATTCTTGTGTAATCATAATTTTTCAATTTCTTTGTGACTGATGCGTTTTTCTTTTTAAATGTTTCCAGGGAACCTAGTTCTCAAGGAAACCTTCTTTCTTATTAAATATTATTTCACGTGTTTGTTACGTGGGCCAGATAAGTCATGTGATATTGATAAAGGTTGTGCAGTTCATACTTGGCGATAATCTGTTCAAAAACTTCCTTTGAAATCTGTTTCAGTGTTATGTGTAATATAAACCAATTAAAATATGCACTGGTGCCCCCACGTTGCTAAAAATTTGTATTTTCAAGCTTTCAGGACGGCACATTAAATGCTGTTAACGGCATCCAAACAAGATTCTTCTGCCCCAAAATTGAAATTTCGCTGATATCATTATAGGTGCATGGTGTTATATATCATTCTTTTCTGCAAAAGTATTGAAAAGTTGGAGGTGCATTTTATACAAAGGTGCTACTTATACACTGGAAAATATGATATGTAAAATTAGAAATGGCTTTTCACTTTTTGAAGAGCTTGATTTATTTGATTTTTATTGTAACTGGATCTGCTGTGGTGCAATGGTTAAGCCAAGCCAACAAAACAATGACTTTAGTTTGGCGGAATTGTGAAGCTGTAATGAGTTAAGGCTACTAACTGATATGGTTTTTAAAGTTCTTGTAGGATGTTACTTATCAAATGGCATCTATCATCTATGTAATATTTAAGAACAAGTAGTGACAACAATGGCAATGCAGGGAGCCATAGTTTATAGAAGAATGGTATGTTTTTGATGAAAATTTGTTTACTATAGTTCTTGTTACCTTCTAGATTTTGCCACTTGGTCGAACAAATGGTGAGAGAAGAGTGCTTGAGTGAGGATGAGTTAATTGGAACTGTGCTTCCGAAGCTGCTGTACCTGCTCCGTGACACTGTGCCCAATGTCCGCATGGCCCTAGCACGTTGTCTGGTCAGAAGCATTTGGCCCAAGGGTAAGCTATCTTGAAGCACTGTTTCATAAAATTACGTTGCGGCCCTGTTTGTCAGTACAGTTTAAAAAGAGTGCCTTTCTATGCTTTGACCAACAGCCTGGGAAACACAGCAGTGAAAAATGTAACAGTGGGGTTATAATATATGTCGAAATGTATCAAAGAACTGGGCTGGTTGGTTTGCCAAAGTAAACTGAAGGCACCACTAAGAGGTGTCGTAGTTTAGTGACCTGACAGGCAAATGTTATAACTGGTCTACTCATTCAAGGCATCATCCCTGCTGGATATGGTGGCCCATGAATTTATATCATCTATAATGGTGTGCCTTCTTTTTTCTACTTCCAGCCTTCTTTTGGGACACTGGAAATTCGTACAGAGAAGAACTGAAGGCAACCCTAGCCAGTCTTCAAACGGATAAAGATCGAGACGTGCGCTTTTGTGCCCAGACTTGTCCAAAAGTGAGGATGTGACTATATTTTATGCTAATGGAACTTTCTCAGTATCATACATAACTATCTCGTAATGAGGAGCATTTGTTTTGCTCCCAATGGACCACTGTACCCACACTCATAATTGTTGGAATGACTGAAGGGTCAACAAAAAATTTTGAAGCTGTTTTGGACTATGTTTTGGACGCCGAGAATATTGATTTTAGTCAATAGTAAGCTTAAAAAGGGGTCAACATGCCAGAATGGAGCAAGGTCAATAGCATTAAATATTTAATTCAACATGAAGCCTTCTGAATGTTACTGCTTAAGGGGCTGAGCTTGTTGATTGGCGCCTGCAGGAGGTATATTAGGAATTTTTAGAGATCATGTTTGCATGTGAAAATGGAAGTCTAACACATTTGCCAGGGATGAGCTGTGCCATTGAATGCACACCTGTGTGGAGTCGCAAAAAGCGTTCAGGTTTCTCTCTCTCTCTCTCTCTCTGTCGGAGGAAGCCATGCAAATTATTCTGTAGTTTCTGACAATATTTTGACAGAAATGATTGCGATTTATGTTGTGAAACACGTGTTTAGAGCTCTTGTGTTATGTGTAAAAATAATGTTGAAACACTTTCAAGTCCTATCTCTTGCACCTCAAAGAGAAAAAGCTCATCAGAGGTCTTGCATGAATCCTTACAGCCTTGAATTTTATCTTGGAGGCATGTTTAATAGTTTTTTTTTCTTTCACAGGACCCTGTGGACTGAATGACATTCAAATGAATTTGGCATTGTCTTTGTCCCTTCACTTTCCTCTCCAGAAGGGTCACTGTTGGATCCCTCGCATTGAAAATATTGGAGCTGTGATAACACTCCCAAGGGGGAGGGACCTTGTTCTATTTTAGGTGTTATTTTATTGTTGCTTTTGCAGACTTAACACTGGTGAGGCAAGGGTTAAGTGCCAATTTTGCCATGTTTGAACAAGTGGCAGTCGATGCTGTGAAGCATGAGAGTGGTTTTTGCGATGCCATTTTTCTAATGAAAGGCCCAGCAAAGCCTATGTGCAATTCTGTACAGTTATTTTACCGTTTTAGATTTTTGTGAAGTTTGCCTTTATGCTTTTTGGAGTGAATTCAGGCCATTTATCACCAAAAATAGCATGCTGGGAGCCAACTAGTCCTCAAGGATAAACAAGTGTTCGGGTTCTTGAAGCTGCTCTGGTTGTAGTCGGTGGTGCTGCCATTGACAACTGATCATTTTTAATGGCAATATTTGTAACAGGCATGGCTGCTTTCGTGCACTTTGCACTAAGGTATGCTAAATAATGCTACAATCTAGCAAAATTTTGCCATTAACTGATGCCTGTTTGGTGATTGCTTTCCCTTCAATTTTTTATGAGCTGTTTTGGCACATTATCTGTGATATATATATATATATTATTATATATAGAAGAAAATGGTTGGAGGGGTTGGTGATATGTCATTCACAGGATGCTTTGAACTTTTGTGCAGAAGTTTTGCATTGCAGACCATGTGATAACTGGAGCAGTTGGAATATATCTATTTTTGTATAAAATGTTCACCTCTTAGTTTACCATAAATAAAAATGTTTCCATGAAAATTCATTGACTGTGGTATACTACTGCATAGCTTTTGTAACACAAGAGACACTGTCTAAATTTTTTGTGGATACTTCAAATGGCCGCAAACGAGACAAACCACCGTTGGCCAGTTAGAAGCAGTAACATACAAGGGCTTTCCCTTGTTACGTTAAGTTCGTCTTTTTGTGGTTTGGTGCTCACAAATGAGAAGTATCGCAGGTGTTCTAAAGCTGCCGCTGTTGACTTGCTAGCCATTTAGCCACATGCTTGGCTGATGTGTTGGCTGACAAGTTGCTCTTTGGTCATGTGACCAGTCTTGTGATGCATGCCTCATGCAATACACACACGTCTTGCTCCAGAAGCTGTAAAAGAGCCCTGCAATACTTTTTGAGCATGGTCAGAAAGTGCTGCCGATTGGTAGTACCCTGACAACACGCAAGCCAAATATTATAGCGCAGCACGCGGCCTGGAATTCATAAATTATCAGTCAGCTAAAAATTGCTTTTTCTTCTCTCGAGAAATAGTGGAATGTGCCCATAAATCACATGTATCAAGCCCATCTATCAGCCATTGGCTGATTCGAACATGGTGCGCTCGCTCGTTACAGAGATTGCCGCAAAAGGGCGCTACTTTTCTATGCGTGCACGCGCGATCGCTGACAAAGCCGCACATTCGAGGAAAAGAAAAAAGCGCTCAAGGTCGCTAGGTGTGCGTGACGCGGAGAAGAAAGAATGCAATTGAAGCATGGGACAAACCTTTGTAACTCCACTCGCACTGGACGGATTCTTGAACATTTTTGGGGCGTTGAGTTCAGGAGAAAATAAGCTCTTCCAGTGAATTAATTCCATGGTTACTTGAAAAAAAGTGTTTCAGGGCCCCTTTAAGTGTGCTTTTTTTGAGAGACCATCTGAGAAGAGCATTGAATTGGACGGGCAGGAGGGGAGAGAGCGAGAGAATAAATTGAGGAAGGCAGGCAGTAGGAGATATGCATAATGCTTGGTGTTCTGGCTACACTGGGCGCGCCCGCCATCTTTAGATGGGCACGTCTCGGAATCGTCTGCTAGCGTCTGCATAAGAAGATAAGGCCTCAGAGAGGCTGAGCAGCAGTCATTAAGAGAGCTTGCGCACTTAGAAAACACGGCAGTTTCTGTGATCCTTTAGCCCCGGCCGGTCACTAAACCTCATTGTACTGCCACGAATCGGCGAGAGCGCAAATCTCTTGCATGCTTCAAAGCTCTTGCAGACCACAGATGCACGAGGCGCATCACTTCGCAAAGCGAAACTGGTGTTTTCTAGTGATCTTCCGATATGAGGTGGGCGTTCAGGAAAATTGCTCATTGCAGACATGCGACTCAAACTTCTAAAGCAATCTTGCACAGCAATACATCTCCTTTGCATATCCCTCTGCAATTATAAACACGAGTCGTATACCAAAACCACGTTTCTTCGCGGCCTGTGCAAGGTTGTGCCGCATTTCTCGATTCGTTTCGTTAGTCATAGATGGAGCTGTTTCTACACCCTTTTCAATAGCGTGTGTCGTAGTTTTTCGTGCATATTCATCGCATAGGAAACCAATACAGTGGGATGAAAGAGGGCAACACGATAAAGCTAGTTTAGGCCTTAGTGATGTCTAAGTAACATATGTGGCATCCTACTTCAAGGCAGGTAGCGGAAAAGATGGAGGGCTTAATCAAGTAGGCGTACGAACAGGCAATAGGGCTGCCGATGAGCACGAGTAAATTACTCGATCTGGATCTCCACAACACGCTGGAGGAATTGATAGAGGCACAGACCATGGGGCAGTATGAGCGCCTTTCCAAAAAAGTACAGCGGGCAGACACATACTAGAGAGTTTAAGAATCGTATCTCGCTCAGCACAGTGTCAAACTTGACGTACCAAGCAACGTATGGGATAGGCTGGTCATCCTTCCTTTGCCGAAGAACATGCACCCTGAATACAACAGGGGTAGACGTGAAAAGAGCACAGGACATGCAGAGGAAGTATGTTAAATGTAGAGAGGCAGCGTTCGTGGATGCGGCCAGGTATGCACGCAGGCGTGGTGGCTTCGCGGCTGCTGTAGTAGATCACCATAAGACTAGCGTTGCGGTACGCGCGGAGCATGTGGCGACAGCAGAAGTGGCCATCGCACTCGCAGTGGCCACCACCACGGCCGAAGTCGTTATCAGCGACTCCCAGACGGTAGACTGCAACTTCGCCAACGGCCGCGTCTCTCCAGAAGCGTTACGAATTTTACTTGCGGGCAAAATTGAAAATAGGGATTTTTACGTATTATGGGCACCTGCCCACACTTCCTCGCTTGCCGGCAACGATGTGGCGCACAGGCCGGCTCGAGGGCTGTTAGGAATTTGCTGTGTCGCGTTGGTAGCGGTGGCGACGAGCAGTCGAGCGGACTTCGCTGAAGCCTTAGCCCGAAGGCGAAACAAGGAGGCAATCGTTTTGAAAACAGCAACAAGAAGGAGCGTTTACTGTAGCAGGTTGTCGTTTTTACAGAGCTGGCCAGCACGACAACGTCGGCTGGGGCAAAATCCCCTAGCATGGGGCCGGCACGTCCTTAAATAGCGTTTTGGGACTCTTCTGCGAGACCAGTTCCCCGGAACGGCACAGTGGCTCGGCTGAGGAGACGCAGCCATACCCGGAACTGCAAGGTGGTTCGACGGAGGAAAGGACGTTATCCCCGGAACTGCACGGTTCTTCTGCACGGAAGGCGGCGCTGGGAGGGGGGGAGACAGTTCGTCGCAACAGCGCTCGATCTCGTGAGACGTGCTCCCGAACGAGGAACATGTCTGTAGCACAACAGCACCCCCGCCGCCAGACAATGCATCCGGAGTTTCGAGCCGTCAGCGCGGCTCGGAAGGAGGGATGCTGGTTGGCTGTCGGGTTCCGCTCTCTCCGCCCGTTGAGTCTTCCATAGGCCTGCAGAGGTTCACTGGAACGATGGAGTCGAACACAAAGCCAAACCACTCTGGCCAAAGCAAGCACCCTCCAAATGCTGATCAAATCGCCAGACCAGCAGAAACGAAAATATTTCCTCGAGATTTAGCTGAGCAAAAAAAATAGCATCACGAGCAATGTACCTGAGGAATACACAATGCGGACACACCTTTAGCTAAGTGTCAGTGCATGACACCGCTAAACCAAACATAATTTTTTTGTTTTCAAGCGATTCTCAATTGTGATTTAGGCAGAGTCTGGACGATCGAAGCTTCTGAGGATTGCTCAATTTAGCACCGAAACTGCAATTAATACGCCAAGCAATCCTGAATCACGCACATTGGCGTCGCCTGCAAGCATAAGATTCTCAAACTTGACAAAGATCGTCCTCCTACAAGCTCTCACTTCAATGGGCTCAGCCAATTATCATCAAAACAAGAGAAAACATGCTTAAAAAGTAAGACAATAAGAATGAAAATTATGAAATAAGAATGAAACTTGTGGGCGTTATTCCAACAAAGTTAACCTACTCTGACGTGCGCACTAACACGTAATGCCAAACGCAGATGGTATTTTAAACATGGGCTTTTACGCAACGTTCTGTTAAAATAAAACACACTTAACTGTTACCTTTCGAAATATGAAAACAAAATGAATCAAACATGTCAGCTTCTTCGATGAGAAGGAAAGTCAAACTTGCAAAAATTCAGATGCATTCCTTGCTCAACGGCTGACGACAGAACTAGAAAAATAATTCTCAAGGCTAAGCACAAATTACACTTGGTATTGGCGAGGCAGCACTCTCTCAGACGAACTCTAGGGAGTCGCGCACTCCACATCTTTCGAGGGTTGCGGTTTGGACAGTGGGACGACGAACCAACTTGTTCGCCGAACTTGGCACCGACTTTTGACGTACACCCACTTAACTCGAAGAAAGGGGCATCTGCACTGCGTCGTTTACCCCTCCGGTTCGACCAGTGACCCCCTCGCCACGGTGGAGAATGACAGCCTTTGTTACAGCTCAGGCGTACGCGATGCTCCTCCACGTGATTGACTTTACGCGGCATCGAAAAAGATGAGACCAGGCGATAATCTCGGCATCCGAATTTCCCTGAAACTCGGTTTCTCTTGACGGACTTCCCGCCTGATCTTAATCTCAGTGATGGTCTGAGATGCAAACATTTCGCTGAGGACCCTTTCGCGATCCTACGCCTAGCATTAAGCCTGGCGTCTCGACTGATAACGCCACGGCACTTAACAGCGGCTTTAGCGCGCTTGTCATCAGTCGTCTTCACCGCGTTACGCATATGCCGACGCCTCTTTCTGTGCGAACTTCTCGCAATACTGGCAGTCTCGACACTCTTACTCACAAGTGTGCTGCCTCTAAATAGTACTGCTGAAACTCTAGACTGGTTAGCTAGGTTTTCCTCGGGCCCGTTGCTAGCTGTCTCTGCCTGTGACAGAACGGGAGTCCCGATGCCTTTTAAGCTAACTATCTCGCCCAAAGGTTTCTCTTCAGTTTGTAAGGGTCTCTCCCTTTCCAAGATAGCCCTTGTTCCCAGGCCTTCGTAGTCGGCCTCATGCTCACTTTGACGCTGTTCATCCTGATCGCGTGCGCTGCGCAGCGGCTCCATCTCTACCGCTTTATCATGCACCTTGGCGTCCTTAGCTCTACGACGGACCTCGGCCCCTAACTCCTCGCGCTGCACCTCAACGTCTGGCTCTGTCAGACGCACTTCGGCGTCCTGCACCTTGTGACGGGCCTCAACGTCAGATACATTTCGACTTTCCTCAGCGCCCTGCTTTCTCTGACGCACTTCAGCGGCTTGCGCATAGTAACGGGCCTCAGCCTCGTGCGCTTTCCTTCTGTCCTTATCATCTAACACTTTCCGGCGAGCGTCATCATCAAGCGCTACGCGATGGACCTCAGCTTCCATCGCTTTACGGTGCGCCTCATCCTCACGCTATTTTCGGTGGGCGTCAATTTCGAGCACTTTGCTGCGCGCTTCAGTGCTGTACTTGTATTCTCGACTTTCGCAGTCGGCAGGACTCAGGGCAGCAAAGTGGCAGA